TCTTCAGTGGTCTGAACGCATTTGTGCTAATGATGGGAAATTTTTAAAGAATTTGTTTGTACATTAAATTTACAACTACATGATAATGCATTTTTGAAGCTCCAAGTATTAGTCTACTCCAAGATATCCTCAGGAAATACAACTTAGAGGAAGAATAAAAGAGGAATCCGCAGTGACCTGATGTTCATATTATCCTACTGATGGGGAAGCACCAAGCCCATAAGACTAACATGGCGCTTGGGGAATGGGAGGTATCATGCTTCATCCAAGAGTAAAGCATCTCGGATTCTTTGATGAAGAACCCTTTCGAGCACTGAAGCACCTCTCCATTCTCTTGAAATAACAAGAAGGGTGGTAGTTACAGCAACGTAGCAATTGTTGGTAGTGAAATTCTCTTTTGCATTTATTTGCATACACACTATATATCATTAACCTAACAAATGTTAAGATCTTTGAGAGGGCAAGGTGACTACATCCCTCCCTCCATCATGGAGTCACCAGGGGCACCTGTGTGTTCCTTAGTCACATCCTCAGGATGTATTTAAATATAGACGATAATTAGACGCGTTTCTTTTCATTTTCCTCTATGGGATTTCCTTAATTTCTTCTACAGAAGTGTCAAAGGGGTCACACACACACACACACACACACATATAGATATATAAATTGTGTGTGTGTGTGTGTGTGTGTGTGTGTGTGTGTGTGTGTGTGTGTGTGTGTGTGTGTGTGCGCGCGCGCGTGTGCGTGTGAGCGAGTGCGCGTTGATAAAAATTTCCCATCATTGCATCAGAGACAGTACAGGATCCAACTTAAGCTTCGTAAACAGCTTGGATGTAGAGGTGAGCTGTCAGCAGGTCAGTGGAGCAGCCACAGCGAGTCTGCTCTTCTCAAAATGGGTCATGTGCGTGGCAGGTTTACAGTGGGCTCTTTGATAAAAAATTAGGATTAGTTTTAAGGCAATAAATATCCATCACAGCATTTGTTTAATGAAGGCCTTAGGAAGATGGTGTGCTCGTCTTAAGAAGAGGAGAAAAAAATTGTTTATAAATTAACAGACGAGTTTAGTTTCCTTGTACACAGGTGGGTTTCACCTGTGTAGAAGAGAATAATACTTTCCTGTCCTCAGATACTTCGGTTACTTTTTGCTTCACCCTCTGAGGAGTGGAAGACTCTGAAGGAATTCCGCATGTATATGTCTGCATGTCAAGTCAGAGAAAGTAAACACTTGAATTAAGATTCTCGGAAATATATTAAAAGAATGAGAGTTGGATCAGAGAATACAGGAATGCACGAAAGAGAAGGAACAGCCTAGAAGACATTTGATAAATACGTGTACGTGGAAAGATGATATAATGAACAGACTGAATATTGTATGACTTTTATTCGAGACTGTGAGGACAGCAAGTTGGGAAATGGGAAGTTGTGTGTGTATGGTCAAAGTGGATGGGTGTAGCTAAAGTTAGTCGTTGTGTGAGTGTAGTTAAGGAGAGTTGTTGTGTGGGTGTGGCCAAAGAAAAGAATCATCAGTGGGGAAGTACAATCCCATGGTAATACTCCCACGGGTAACTGATGCCTAGAAATCCTTATAAAAATTCGCCCGGAACTACTGCTTAGGAACATTTGATTTGTATGACTATGGAAGGATTGCAACACTAGTTTAGCACTGACCTGCTTTTTTTGGTGTTATTATGAGAGATATATTGTGGTATAGGAAAATTAAATCGTGTCTGCAAGCGTTCATAATTTTGCAAGAGATATTTTACTTGGAAATTCCGCGATGGTTGATGCAGTGTCCGGATAATTTCAGGCTCACGTGACCCATTGGAAACTGAGTATAGCACAACGGGAGATGTGATAAACTTGACCACACTAATAGAATCATTACATCACAACGGTATAATGGGAACCCCAGGGGCTGGATCTATGTATCCATGGAGAGTCCTGCCTGTCTTAATAGCAGCGAGACACTACCACGGTATCCAGAGATGCATTATGCCACAGTGGGAGAACTAGCTTCATTTTGATTAGCAAATGCAGCATTATGTCTTGGACATAAAGGGAAAGTACATATACATACATCAACTGTACAATATTAGATGCATAAAGTGACCTCGAGGTCCTCCTTTCAGCTACACACTGTACACAGAAGCAGCTACCAGGCTGGAATATGTTAAAACTGTCCAAAGCGGCACACATTGTCTCACCACTTCAACGATTGGCACAAAATAAATATCACAGAATATAAACAAAACAAAACAAAAACAAAAAAAATCTAACAATTATCTGGAGCTTATGTTTATGGCGCTGGGAGCTAGATGAACAGCGAGATGCCCATGTCTACCTGACTCCACCTTGACTAACACTTGTGTAGGAAAGGGAGTGGGGGTGGGGCGAGAGGACAGATTCTAATGCCATTGAATCTATAAAATACTATTACTGTTTTCTAGGTGGCAGGCCAAGGGGATCGTCAGCCATGTTTGGAAAATAGGAAAATTTGCTCGTCTGCCAAAACTGAATCAAAATTCCAGACACATGAAATGCTTGGTTCTGCATCATCATATACTATGAATTTTTTCCATTCTTTGCACCTCAGATTCTGAAGATTCTCTCATGTACTATCAACCCTCCCAGGACCTCAGTGATGTATTATCAAACCTCCCAGGACCTCAGTGATGCACTATCAATCCCCCAGGACCTCAATGATGTACTATTAACCCTCCCAGGACCTTAGAGATGTACTATCAACCCTCCCAGGACCTCAGTGATGTACTATCAACCCTCCAAGGACCTCAATGATGTACTATCCCCTCAAAAAATATAAAAAAATTTTGAGGGATTATTAATTAATGTTGTGATGATAATGAATGATAAAGGAAGATATTTAACATTCCTGTACATGTCTCCTTTTTATGACAAATAGCAATGAAATGATGAAATTTGTGAAAGAAAAATGACTAGGTAATTATCAACTTCATTAAATTAATGTGAACCATATTAGAATACTATCTACAAACACAATAACAAGTAATATGTTTTATCTGAAGAATGTGATAAGTGTACATACATTACTTGTGCTTTAACGTGATACTGCACATACTTGTCTATATAAAAATATGGTAAAAAGACTTAAAAGTAAATAAATATATTCAATCTAAAATTAATACTGAAATTACAAAATGTTCATAAAAAATTATGAAGATTTACATCACTCATTAAAAACGAGAGAAAAAAAATGCAATATAAATAAAAAATATTAACTCAGTGAGCTAAGATGGATAACATCAGGTCTAGGCATGTGTTGCGAGAGCATTAACAAATGCAGCAACTGTAACACACAACTGTTTACCGGTCATAGGTTTCTGCTCCACCTCTTGTAACAACACACTAAAGGAAGGAATAAAACTACAGTCTTGGGTGCGAGAGCCCTGCCCTGCGGGATGCCCCAAGAGCAGCTGCCGTGGTTGTGGGGAGGATCATAGCCCGTACATTAAAACTTTTCTTCTCTGACATGCCAGCACCGTACTGCCTACACAGGCTCGGTGTCTGCTCAAGCATTAGGGGGGAAAAACTTGCGCCAGTGACCACCGCAGTGAGTGGCAAGTTACAATCATATAATTCTCGTGGGCCACTCCAGTGATTCTAATGTTAAGGGACATAATCTTGTGGCTACTGTTGTGGCTCTAGTAGTGTGTGAGGTAATCTTGGTGGTCGCTGCGGTGGTCCTGCGTGGGATAATCACAGTGGCCACTCCGGTAGAAAGAGATATGACTCTATAACTGAATCTAGGATGGCAGGCGAGTGGCTGCTCCTGCTCACACAAGGGTGGGCAGCATATGCCAGGCGGACACGTACAGCGGATCCTCTCTTCCTACGTTTAGTGACACAGATACAAACAGCACAGACAGCCAGGGAGCAGCAGAGACGTTATAATGATATGACTTAACGGGGACGTTGGGGTCCCAGCCCGGACCACTCAATCACCTCTCCAGCTGTCCACCACTAGTTCATGGATACAGCGAGTATTTCAAAAAGCTTAAGGAATATTAACGACAAAGATTTTTTTTCTTTAAAGACGAACAAATTTACTTATAATTAACACATTGTGTCAGTTTGTAGTGTTATTACACCCTTGGTGCAACTTCAGTTCAGTTCGTTATACAATACAGTATAACAATATTTCACTTCGTTATACGATATAGTATAATTTGACGTAATTATATCTACAGATTGAGAAACAAGGAATGTAGGAGCAGTGGGAGGCTCACACATGGAGGCCAGGTTCGTCTTCAAGCTTCGTAACTGTGTTCACATCACCTCACCACCACCACAAGACCTTCGCCTCATGGACTCGGTTAAGTATATTAACATTGACTCAGCCACCGTACATCTTCACAGACATCTTAAATTACCTTTTGTAGGAAGTGTATAAACTTTCTGAGTTGTATAATGTAGGATCCTTTTACTAAGCGAGACCTTGCTTTATCAGAAGTCTTAAGTAAAGTTTGGGCACTTCTTTCCAGGAACCTCGAATACATGCATACATGCATACACAGTATACATATATAAACATATGCTTCTTAGTCATATTTGCTAAACAAGTTGATTTAACACAAAAAATACATCTAAAATAATTTTAATATAGATTACTGTATTGCACATATTTACTTGAATAGGAATTATATACATTTGTTTTATTCTTATGAAAGCCAATTTTGTAGCCTAACCTAACTTATTCCAGGTTAATTTCGTGGTGTTTAGAGTAATTTTAGCAGAGTTATAGTGAAAATAAATATAAGCTCTGCTTGTTTGGAAAAATGATCTATCCACACTTTTCCAAATTAGCAAGTTCTGCCTAAGAAGCACAGTTTATATACGTATATATATATATATATTATATATAATATATATATATATATATATATTATATATATATATATATATATATATATATATATATATATATATATATATATATATATATATATATATATATACACTCACATACACACAAAGTTTCCAGCACCTTGGGAATGGTTATACATCACTTTAGAGGCTGAGTGAAGCCTGAAGCCACTAAGCTAGCATTCATAATGTCATTTCTAGTTGTCATTTCAAGGCAATTTTATGCTTTTGGCTTCTTTTCATTTCTAAAGCAATCTAAACGAGTTTCATAAATAATACAGTAAATGTATGCGAGCAGGAAAATGCTTTTCTCACATCTTACTTCAAAAATTTGTACAGGTATATTTACTAATTTTTTTTTTTTCAACACTTGCATTTCAAACAATATACCTATAAGGCTTATAACTTACTTTTTCTTCAGTTTCTTAAAACACACAACACACACTCGAGCGTTTGCATGGGCTTGTTTGTTGTTTCTGATCAGCAGCTAAGTTCTGGACTCCACAACAGGCTATTGCTGCCTGTGGCAGAGAGCTTATGAAGCTCATCGTATGTTCGGCGTTGCTTACTGAGCGAGTTTAAAATGCCGGAAAGTTTGTCACTTACGCGAATGTGTTCCACTAGACTCTAAAATGTTCAACCGAGCCATCACTTTCAGCCACGAAAATAAGACTGGATGAGAGTAGTGTGGACTAGCTGCTTTGTTTCAGAAGCCAAGCTTCAGAGTGTCAGAATCACTGTTATCTAGGTACTTCAAGATGGCAGCTGGCGGTGCCTAAGGGCTCATAAATCACCCTCGTAGGAGAAACATCTAGTAAGCTTGTTGTCAACATCTAATTTATACTTGGATGAGTTGGTGGTGGTGGAGGAGGGGCAGTGGGGCTGGTCTTGGCCATCATGCGGACGGTGTTCTTGAGTGCTTGACGCTTGTTACAAAACCAGATCCTTACCACCTCCCGTTCGTATCCTAGCTGCTCTGCCAGGGCCGTGATCTCTGCACCTGTGGACGTAAAACATTGTCAGTTATATATTTGTCAGAAATACTTAATTTGAAGATACATTTAACATAAAATTATTAATAAAGATCACATAACGTGGCTGGAACAATTGAAAACACGTAACATTTAAAATGAGCTTAAGCGATGTTTCGAAATGTCCTAGAGGTTGCCATTATCAAGTCGTGACTTGATAATGGTCCGAGGCGGGTAGAAAAGCGTGTTTGGCTTAGCTGTTTGGCTTACAGTTGCAATCGTGAGTTAATTGGGAATATATATTAAATCCTACATACTTACTGGAATATACAAAGCTGAAAGTACACAGTAGCTAACACAATAAGAAATATATATAAAATGACTTCAGAAAAACGTTTTGCACTTGCTGTTGTACAAGTTTTTGTATAGGCGATATGTGGTCTCAGGTCTCATTAAAAGTTTGCTCTGCATTTGTGTCTATTTCAATCAATAATTGTATTCACCGAAACACACTTGGAAATACAACACCAAATATGGATATTAAACATGAGATACATATTATTTTATATTTATATTTCATGAACTATTCACTCCACTCGCTCATGACATACAGATTTTGTTGTAAGTTTACCGTGATATCGCAGAACATGTTTACACTACAAGCAGAACAAACGTGGACTTTGAAACTAAAATCCTTCGTCAGATTTGCCATGAAGGCAATATTTCCATAGAAGTCTGGCATAAAGCAATACTAAATGCATTAAATTTTTGTTTATGTTTTCTGTCAGACAAATGGGATTAGATTTGGATCAGAGAGAGGGAAGTTGCTGGTTCCTCACTGAATTTCGCAATTCTGGCATTCTCTAAAATGTTATTTACAAATCGGTATATTTTTCATTTAAAGTAAACATTATTTTGTAGGGAGAGAGACTCCGAGCCTTCCTCCAGGCTCGCTGAACTGTCAAATGCAGTGCTACTCTCTTTTGATTGCGCGATTACATTCAGGGGATGAGAAAAACCTGTATGGGTCTTTAGAGACAGAAAAACGGGATAAGTTGAAGGTAATCAAGTATGATAAAAGGAATGGGCGGGTAGTTCTAATTCCCTGTATTAAGAGCCAGGAACTAGCGTCTAGGCTCCACTGACGGTTTTTCTATAGAAACATAAGTGAGGTAGTTCTATTCATCTAAAAATATTGACTAATTATATTCCTTGAACAAGTTTTTTTTTTTTTTTTTTTTTTTTAATCCACACGAAGGGAAGTTTGGCTGCAGAAGTAGAGATTTTGTTTCTTCATTTACATAAGGAGGATCGAACATGTACCACTTCACGCTGAATGACCCACACGGATTAAAAACTTCGAATCAATATAGAACAATATGTTCTTCAAACCTCATTTACTTCGTATTAAAGATACATCTAAAAGTTTTAAATCTGGCATATAACAACACACTAGTCTTTGACTGTTCGTATTTCCCGATAAACATGCAACTAATTTATCACTTCATTGATTCTCAAATTCATAGTAAATACCGGAATACATGCCCGTGAGGTGTTGGAACCTTCCCCCTACCCATAAATTTTCGTGTTCGTTTTTTGCATATGATCTTCCGCTCACTCTCATATTTTCTCTTCTCCCTCAACTAAACAAATACTAAATACGTATCTCTTTCAAAGGGGTGCATTGATTCGGGTGAAGAGCTTTTGATCAAAGGAACTGGAGCTATCTCTCCCTTCACCGGAATCAAACCTGATTACCTCCTCCTTCCTAGGTGTTGTATAATCCCTTGCGAATTTAATTTAATAGGATATTAAGCGCCAGACCCTGAAACGTCTTACAGCCTCTCTCTCTCTCTCTCTCTCTCCTCTCTCTCTCTCTCTCTCTCTCTCTCTCTCTCTTCTCTCTCTCTCACTACACACACAACACACACACACACACACATATATATATTATATATATATATATATATATATATATATATATATATATATATATATATATATATATTGTTTAGTGTGTGTGTGTGTGTGTGTGTGTGTGTGTGTGTGTGTGTGTGTGTGTGGGCAAGACACTGACTTTTGCACGAATATTACCTCTCCTGCAGTCCTCGTGTTGAAAGACCCACACGAATTTAGCGTTGCGCATCAAATTCTGTTGGTTTCATTTATTATACACTGCACGACAGCCCATAGGGCATCAAATAATTTTTGGTTAACTTATGTCTCCAGGTACAGATTAAAAAAACAATTCCTACCCTGTACCTGAACAGATGCAGAAATTCCATGTCTGAGTGCCATAGTAGTGGTAGTAGTAGTAGTAGTAGTAGTAGTAGTAGTAGTAGTAGCAACAGAAAAAATAGTAATAATAATAGAAGTAATTGTAACAATAATGGTAGTAGTAGTAGCTGAGATAGTAATTTTTAGTAGTAGTAATAACAGTAATTATAGTAGTAGTATTAAAAAATATTGCTGGTGGTAGCAGTAACATTAAAACCATAGCGTAAGTAGTAATATTAATAGCAATATCAAAAGTAAAAATAATAATAGTACGAAGTGCATAAGCAGCTTAAAAGTAAAAAAAATAATAACAGTAACATTAGTAGTAATAGAATAAGTAGCACCAGTATTGTTACTAACAATAATCATAATTGCATTATTGGTAATTATTTTTGTGGTAATAAATGAAAAATGATAAATATTAATATTAAATATAAAATTTTCTTTTTCTTCTTCTTCTTCTTCTTCTTCTTCTTCTTCTTATTATTATTATTATTATTATTATTATTAGTATTAGTAGTAGTAGTAGTAATATAGTACATAGTAATAGTTGTAGTAAGTAATAGTAGAACATAGTAATAGTAGTAGTAATAGTAGTAGTGGTAGTATAAATAAATTAGAAATTAACAGATTTTTATTAATTTATTTTAATATATTTTTCCATTTCTGGTTTTATTATGTACTAGTAATAAGTAAATTATTAAAATATTAAAATAAAATATTTTAACAAAAATATTAATAAAATTGTTTTTATAAAAAACTATTAATAATTGCTTTACTATTAATATTAAAAAGAATTTTGCTTAATTTCAACGAATTTATTTCACAATATTTATTATTGTCATTATTATTATTATTATTATTATTATTATTATTATTATTATTATTATTAGAACTAATAATGACACTGATACTGTAATATCAGTATTAGATACTGATCAGTATTAGTACTGATTTTACTACTACTGCTGTACTACCATCACTATTATTACTAATACTACTACTAACACTAATGATGAAACTAACATTAATATTAATAGTAAAGCAATTATTAATATTTCTTTATAAAAACAATTTTATTAATTTTTTTGTTAAAATATTTTATATTAATATTTTAATAATTTACTTATTACTAGTACATAATAAAATCAGAAATGGAAAAATATATTAAAATAAATTAATAAAATATGTTAATTTCTAATTTATTTATACTACCACTACTACTATTACTACCACAATACTAAATAACAAAAAGGCACAATACCGTGACTGGAACGATACACAAATAACCCGCACATACAAGAGAGGAGCTTACGACGACGTTTCGGTCCGACTTGGACCATTTACAAGGTCACACTAACGAAAAGGAGAGAGGGAGGGGTATACATAGGCAAGAGGGGGTAGTAGTAGTAGTAGTAGTAGTAGAAGTATATGCCTATATATACCCTTCCCTCTCTCCTTTTCGTTAGTGTGACTTTGTAAATGATCCAAGTCGGACCGAAACGTCGTCGTAAGCTCCTCTCTTCCTTGTGCGGGTTATTTGTGTAATAAACTAATAATGGTAACTGTCACATTGAAGAACTGCAACCCAAGAGAAAGCATAACTGTAGAGGAGAGCAACTCAACGTGGTAGGCCATTTAATCTTTCTTACCAATATCTTCCTTTCTACCCACAACCATTCGCACTTCTATGTCATATCCTTAAGTTTTCCTTACCCATTTTTGCCATCGACCTAAGTGCCTGAAAAAAAGACGTTTCGATCGTCTCGAGGGAAAAGTGTTGTGTACCTGCTCCTGTCTTTTCAAGAGATGCTTGTGAAACTGCGATAATGGGATTAGGTAAATAATCCGTTGCAGGAAAGTTAATAATAATAATAATAATAATAATAATAATAATAATAATAATAATAATAATAATAATAATAATAATAATAATAATAATGATAATAATTAGTAATAATAATAATAATCATCTTACGGAAACTCCTGGAGAATGGGAGATAATAAGCTATAATCAAAGGAAGGGTATGGTGGCTCTAATTCAAGAAATCAAGAGCCCTTCAAAACCATCTAGGAACATACCTCCTCATCCTCCTACAGAATGGGAACTTAGAAGACATTTTTTATGCACTGATAAGTAGATTTTTGCACCTTTTCACCCATATTGGGGCTCTATCAGACTCCTCATATAATCCCATTCTGGGCAAAACAAGGATTATATATATATATATATATATATATATATATATATATATATATATATATATATATATATAATATATATATATATATATATATATATTAGCCCTCGGCTAAGTCACTGTCTATAAGTACCACTATTAACATCTGACAAGTCATGAACTAGGAAACTCAAAATTTGGCGCAGAACTCAAAATTTTGGCGCAGAAATTAATCATGTGCAATAAAGTGTTTATGGACGGGTGGTGGAGCAAACAGCAATAACTCATGAATGGTACATATTCTTTACATAAAATTGATATGAGCCATTAGCTGTTGACACTGATGAAAATGCTCGGCCAGACACTCCTCTGTATTTCATATGATCGATGAAATGGGATGATTCAGCGTGGAATTCATTATGTGTATGTGTTTATTATTATTACTAATATATATATATATATATATATATATATATATATATATATATATATATATATATATATATATATATATATATATATATATATATATAACCGTGCTGAATAGGTAAAAACTTGCTATTTTGGTTTAAACAGCGAAAATTTGTGCATGCAATAATTTCGCAAAAAAAAAAAAACATTCTGAGCCTAACGGAAAAAATATATTTCATTGTGTCTATTTATTATTAAATCATTGTAAACTTATCTAAAATATATTTAGTTGGTTTAAGCTATATTAAATTGCACTTGTTATAAGATTAAGTAAGTTTTCTGAGGTTCTTCTGGTACAAAATTTTTAATTTTTACATAAACATAAATTAAAAATATATATCTTTAAACGTATAAGAGAAAATTTTACAAAGAACTTAATTTTAAATGCTTTCTTGCTAATTGTCCAGTTTTACCTATATATATATATATATATATATATATATATATATATATATATATATATATATATATATATATATATATATATATATATATATATATATATGGTGTGTGTGTGTGTGTGTGTGTGTGTGTGTGTGTGTGTTTGTGTGTGTGTGTGTGTGTGTGTGTGTGTGTGTAGGGGAATGCTAAACCCGTTAGGATCATACAGCTCCTACGGAGGTAAAGAAATTTGATCTCAGTTGTCAAGGCACTTCTTGAAAGATTAATATCATTTGGGATATTTTTGATATGCCAGTTTTACCGTGGGCTCCAAAACATAGGAACCTACTGTAACCTAACCCATGCTAAAATTTAAGCAATATAAAAAAATTTTATATCCCTGACTTCTGGGAATCTGCATGCCTTTAACTCAGTATTTGTCCCAGGGAAGGAATGGGCAAAGCAATCTTCAGGTGATGTCCAACAATCCTTCACAAAGACACACTGCAGAACAAGGGGATACTGTATTACTCTGTATTACTCTGTGTAGAGATTAAACTCAAACTCAGTATAATGTAATCCTTTATTGACTATATTGCGCCTACACAGTGTGGGCGATACGTAGTTAATACAGGATCGCTTTAAACTGTATTTGTGTTTATTTTTTCCATTGTGTTAGTATTATATACCTGTTATTTCCACTCTGCGTAGAGCTTTATCAAGTCATGCAGTGGTTACGTTGTCTCAATTAAGGTTACTTCTGTTGCTTGATTCTTGTCTTCATACATTGTCTGCGACACGCACTCATCCGGTAAATCAGTGAAATTTGCCAGTTCAGGTAGTAAATGATACAAGATTTGCAACCAGGTAAAATATAGAAATAATTAATTTGTGTTTGCAGAAGAGTGATTATGAGAGCAAATGTAAACATAGTTCTCTACTTGAGAAAGGGGAGCTGGAATGATGTCAGTGAGAGCTGTAAACTGGAATAATGTCGGTGGATGCTGAAAGCTTGAATTATATGAGAGGGCGCTGGAAGGTGGAACAATGTCAAAGGGTGCCGGAAGCTAGAATTGTCAGTGGGTGCTGGAAGCTGGAATAGTGTCGTGGGTGCTAGAAGCCGAATGATGTCGATAGGTGCTGGAAGTGGAATGATGTTAGTGGGAGCTGGAAGTTGGAATATTGTCAGTGGGTGCAGTTGACTGGAATAATGTCAGGAAGTGCTGCTAGCTGGAATTACATCTGTGATTGTTTAAAGCTGAAATGTTAGCGGATTTTGAAGATGGAATAATATAAATTTTTGATGCAAGATGGCATTATGCCAGTGAGTACCTGAAGTTGGAATTATACCAGCTGTAGCAAGATTGATGTCAATTGGCGCCGGATGACTGGGGCAATAACCAGACATGTAATGTAAAGTAAGCCTTAATTTTATTGATTTCATAAATCTCACTCCTGTGGAAAACGTTGTAAAAAATAAAGACTTACTCTGGAGTCCACGACTTTATATATGTAACATGCTAATGAGAAACTAAGGAAACTCATAGGTGTGATATAGTGTACATGCTGAGGAAAAACAAGCCGAAAGACAAACACTAAAAAAAGTAATGCACTTGATACGGTAACATCAAACTCTAGAATGAGAGGAATAAGAGGCATTCAGTATTGATTCAAGGAATAAAAGCGTATGTCTTTGCCCTTGAATGAAGACCTTCTCCAATGACGGGTGAAACTTTAGACTAAAGTGAAGGTAGGAAACTGCGCATCGAGGATCTGCAAACGAAGCATGGCATATCTGATCTAAGAGGGACATTTGTGACATTGAACTTGATAAAGCACCGGTGTGGGTGGAACGTTGTGCATTAAATGTTTCGACTGTATATTGAGTCTTATTTTCTTAACTAGTCGGCTTGTTGCCTATTCCAACATACTGAGCAAATTCAATCAAATAAACTCCTGATTATTTCCTTCACAGGTTCATAATAACAAAAGTGTCATTAATTTAAGTCCGGAAGAGAAGCAAGAGGATATTTTTTCTTACAAAGAGTGATAAAACTGTGAAACATTCGACCTCGAAACAAAAACTGCTAGATTTTGAAACTCAGCTGGAAGAACGAGCCAATAAATTGGACACCTGCACAGTTAACTGGCCTCTATCTACCCCATGCTCACTAGACAATGCTCGACAAATTAACAAAGGTAAACACATAATATACAATATCGTGCAGTGGACCAGTTACTCGGAGGATAATCATGAGTCTCATGTGATCATGAGAAAAACATAAAAGGGCTCAGTGTAGTAGGATTTCTTGCAAATACTTGGCAGGTTTTACTCATATCCCAAAATTCTTGTCGTGTATCTGTGCAATCAATCCTTTAAACTACTGTAGTGGCTTTATGTTGCAGATTATACCACTTATTTATGTCTTTATCTACTAAACAGTTTTCATATCCAGTGTAAAGCTGAATTCATACAGCTTAAATGCTTCAAGAGATGAAAAGGTGCATAGTACAGACGACTAGAATGTGTGTGTGTGTGTGTACCGAGTGATGAAGACGACAAAGGAAAAAGGGTCTCAATAAAAAACATTATCCACCTGTAGCGCTTCAGTGTAATAAAAATCAGTATCGTAGAGTGTTGGCATCTAGAGCGAATGAAATAATTAGTAGCAAAGGATGGTAAATAATTACAATTGTTTATAATTTGAAGGTGTTCACTGTCTTTAGAAAGCAGTGTGAACGAAGTGGGGGGTATTTATAACTCCCATCAAAACCGAGTTCCTCTTCAGACTACTTTGCAAACGAGCTCTTTTTATACTCGTAACTCTTAATTCTCCAAAGAAACTCAGTTGATAAAGTATATAACATATAACATTGGTTCTTACTTTCGACAGGCCCAATATTTAGAGAATGAGGAAGACATGTCAATATTAGAATTATCTTTACATTTAGCGGTAAGCAACAAGCCCGTAGAGGTCAAACAGTGCAAGGGAAATGGGGGGTAGATCTAATATAAAAAAAAAAAAAAAAAAAAAAACTAGTTCCAGTTTAAGGCATTAAGACATCCCTTGGAAGAGGTCTTTAAAAGGATCTTGTACAATAAAGCTTGAACTAATATACAATAACTTTATAACAAAAAAGGAACGTTGAAATGGAAAGTGTTGATGGATAAGAAGATACCAAGAGATAACGATACCGTTGTATTAATTGATCTAAGTGTTCATGTTTCTTAAAGCAAGTTTACCATCAAAAGTTTTCAGTCGAGACAGTAATTAAGACAACTTATGAAGCAGCGCAAGGAAAGTGCAGTTAGACATCTTTAAAGGTGATAGTAGTAATAAGGTGATGGATGTTTCATACACAGGGCTGCTTTGCATGAATGACTATATTGTACACAGTTACCACGAATACTGGAATGCGCTGTGCACACACAGTTACCAAACACAAACCTGTTTTGTATACGGTTACCACTGAGTCTGTGTACTCAATAAAAAATGTCAGTTAATAAAGGAGCTACGTTACAAGCGTTGTAAGTCTGCTGGGAGATAAACAGTGAAGGCTCTTTTGTACTTTAACAGTCTGAAGGAACTGTCTCAAGGATTATCCAAGGATGTTTGTGTGACGCTAAGAAGGCCAGTTAAAGAGTGACTTATCATTTGGTAAAACGGAGCGTTTCTATTCATCTCAAACTTGCCCTACGGCGTCAATTACTTAGCTAACTGATGCAACGCCAGGAAACTGAAACAATTAAACTCCTCAGCACCAATCCACCATTCGTCACCAGTCCACCATTGATTACTAATCCACCATTTAGAACTACTTCATCATTAAGCACCAAACAACCCCTCAGCTCCAACTTACCATTCCACGCCAATACACTTTTTAGAATCGGTCCACCATTCATCATCAATCCACTATTCAGTACCAGTCCAATATTTAGAAGCAATTCGCCATTCAGAACCAATGCGTCATTCAGCACCTGTCCACCGGTTAATTCCAAACAGCCTCTAACCACCTACCAGAAGGGTGTGTATTCCTTTCGAAGTGCGCGTTGAGGACCTCGAGAGCCTGCGGGGTGAAACTGGTGCGTCGTTTCCTCTTCTTCGTGGGTTCGGAGCCCATGAACTCCGTCAGCGTGTGTTGGCCGTTCTTGTACCTGCCGGAGGAGTTATTAAATTACACATGTAAGCATGGAACAGAAGAAAGTAAAGAGGTATGGAGAAGCGTGTGAATCTCCTCTACGTCGTATATATGAACAAAGAAAGTTTACGCTTAATGTAACGTCAAGACAGTGATAAAACTAGAATATCTTTTGGATTTTTTTTTTTCCGCTGAATGTTAAATATAAAAGAAAAATTTCAGGCACGTTGAATGCAATGCTGACGCTGTGTAATGTGAGTGCGCGAAATAATCTGAGACCAAGTTCTTTAATTCATGGGCAAACTGTTGATTTCATCTTATTAATATATATATTCTACGAGAAAATGGTTTGGACCAATGTAGATTGTTGTGCGTGTGTGCGTGCGTGTGTGTGTGTGCGTGTGTGTGTGTGTGTGTGTGTGTGTGTGTGTGTGTGTGTGTGTGTGTGTGTGTGTGTGTGTGTGTGTGTGTGTGTCTGTGTGTGTGTTTTAAGGGACACCGAGGAGTGAGGGAGGATCCGTCACTTTAAGTTACATCAATTGCTACACACACACACACCAGAAATTACAACAGTGAAAAGGAGTAATTATTACAGAATGAATAACTATTCTCTTATATTTAAATGTTCTGAATGATTACTAATTATACACTGGTTATAAAATTTAGCGGGAAAATAACTGATTAAGATATTCAGAAATAATAATAATAATAATAATAATAATAATAATAATAATAATAATACGTCATGCTTTCAAATAGTTGGCTAGCACATTTTTCAGATATGAACCCAAGAGGAATGAGAGGGTGTAAGAAACGGTGGGCGGCCTGGAAGATGGTGAGACATGATCGAAGACAGCTTACGAAACACTGAAACACGGTCGTGGGCGGCCTAGGAAACGGCGAAACACGGTCGTGGGTGGCCTAGGAGACGGTGAGACACAGTCAGGGGTGGCCTAGGAGACTATGCTTTTTGAGGGACTGCGATAAACTTGGCCGAGATGAGAATTCACTTATACACATCATTTTACTAATAGTTTCTTGTTATCATTATCAAAACGTCTTTCAAGCGCTTGAAATTAGAGGAGAAAATAAATGTTTCCCAATCGGAAACGCCAGATGAAACGGGGATAAAAAGGAAGAAGAATCGGAACTTTGTGTGATGCGTTCAAGGCTTCTTGGAACACTCAGCCCTGAATTCTATTTTCAAGATATTCAGTCTTAGTTTACAGCGCTACACCTCACATCGCAAGAGTCTCCAAGCGGTAGTGATGTCATTGCCGGTGACGGCGGCGACAACGGGAACAAAGACAGCGGCGACAAAAACCGATAATATCGGCAACGGAAGCGGCGAGGCTAAGAACGGGAGATGGGTGAGACTGATCATCAACGGGAAGATAGTCAATAAGTTGTTAAGGTGACAGTGAGATCGCGTGTGTTGGAAAGGGAGGCAATCGTCCCATGTATAATATGAAGTCAGCTTATGTCACTGAGGTCAGCTTATGACATCGAGCTCGGCATAAGATCCTTCTGCTCATGCCAGGGAGATAAACTAGCTCTTGTATAGACGTTAAATTGCCCATTTATCTAACCAACACCAGATGTAGCAGTCTAAGAACAGATATAATGAAACAACTACTGTATTTAATAACTGAAAATCAGTCTAAAATGAGTAAGATGATAAGATTACCGCAAATATGTAAACTATTCGTGTGCAAATTTGTTTCAAAATTATATTTTATTCTTGAAGTGGGCTCGTGAGTGTGGCAGTACTTTAAAGACAATAATTTTATGGCTGTAGAAGTTTTTTTAATAAGCGGAAAGTGTTTATTAGCAGATAAATGTAAGCTTCTACATTTCTTTGAGGGTGAGTAAAGTGGGCAGAAGGCATTCGGAACAGGTAGTTGCCACTGACTCCAACTACATGACTGCAAACTCTCTAAGGGAATTTTATAAGATGATGACTTATGTTGCAAAGAATCTACACGAGTTGAAACTCTTTTATTAATTTCGTCATTTACTATAAGGTAGCAAATATTAATTCTTTTGCAAAGTTTTTTTATTGTACTTACTTTTTTTTCTTTTTCTTTATAAGTAACATTTCTTGTTATTTAATATATATATTATATATATATATATATATAATATTATATATATATATTATATATATATATATATAATATATATATATATATATATATATATATATAAAATCTTGTTTTGCGTTCAGTCGCAACTTTATGAAACTCAACCAAGGATAGTGGACAAATCCTGCTCTCTCCTCACAGTTGAGTTATACAGTAGAATTATACAGTAGGACGAAAATACAACACTCTGTCACCTACGGCCTCTGCATTACTGCCTCTTTAAGGGTTCAAGGTTAGGAGAGCCTCTGCTTACGTCCCTTCAGCGAACGCACAGCTTCTGCCGTAGGAAAGCTCCTCTCGCCGCTGTTGAAACAGAATTTGTATTCATCAAGGCAGAATTATCACATTACGGAATCTTCAACAAACCCATGGAAACACTGTGTGCGTGTGTGTGTACAATGGATTTCCACGATTCCCTGGAAGCACAATGCTGTATATTTCCATGGATTCCTGGGAACTGGGTACCGTAAATTGCCATAGTGTCCTGCAGGCAGAGCACCATGGATTTCCATGGTGTCCTTATGGAATGCACAATGCATTTTCATGGTCTCCCGAAAGTGGAGCACCATGGATTTCCAAAGTGTTGTGGAAGAGGGAAACCATGCACTTTAATGAACTTGTACAAGTATAAGCGTGTTTGTGGGAATAACGTTATGAAGTAACTGAAGAACGATTTTTTTTTTTTGTATTCAAAATGCTGCCGTTCTTTGCGTCTCATTGTTTCTACGAAATTATGGTATCCTTTTCAATGAATCTCTTGGAATACCATGAATATGGATTCCACGGATTCCGGAAACCACGCAGCTGCTAATCTTCATGGCTCAAAAATTATCAGAGAAGCAGCTAATTCCAAAATGTTCGGGGTCGGACTTCGTAAAAAAAAAAAAATACGATTACTGTGACGTAACGATGGTGTCCTTTAAGAGTACAGGGGGATCATCAACTACCAGTGACTAGGGCATTTATATGATTAATTACTTGTTCTCATTAGGCTCGTATTCTCGGCTTTGCGATCGTAACATCAAAATAGGGAACAAATGAGTATATCATTTTGGATTCGACGCGTCAAGTTAACTGCAATGGCATCAACATTCATAAACAGCGAGAACGAATGAGCAATAACTCTTAACGTCTCACGCTAAAGATACGAATGCCTCCCTATTTTCTTTTTTTTTTTTTTATTTTGCGGAAAACTGCATCAAACTCAATTTGAGTTTTTGGAAATATGTAAAAAAAAAAAAAATCACGCCGGTAGGCATGTAACGAGTTCTGATGCTTATCTGCAGACGAAATATTATGTCGAATTATGAAACAAGAATTTGCGACAGCCTAAATTTAGTTGTCTATTCGATAAACCTGGATGCTGCCAGGAAGGCGGGAAGGCCGCCGCTCATCCGTGGTCAACCGGCCACGAGCGACCAGATGCTGTGATCGTCGAAATGTCCTCATTGATCTATCTACCACACCACAAATAGAATGGCGAAAAATATAATACAAGGCCCCGCTAACTGACCAAGTATCGACCTGCTCTCGGCCGCTAGCCAGCGATAGTTTCATGCCCTCTTTTGTCCAGGTACTGTACCACAAGCTGGCCACTAGCTGACCAAACGTGTCCCATTACTAGCCACTAACTGGCCAAGAAACGTACTCTACTGGCTGCTAGCTGGCCAGGTATAATGATACCCCCTGGCGGCCGCTAGCAAGCCAGGTGTCGCAAATGCCCCTGAGGACAACCGTAACCAGAGTGGCGAGTGGTTTACCTGTCCTCCGCTTCCTGCATCCATCGCTCTAGAACTGGCTTGATCTTTTGTGCACTTTTTGGCGTGATGTCTAGTTTTTCAAACCTAAAACGAGAAAATAGAGCTCGTGAATTTCTTGCTATAGCTTCGGTTCTCAGCTAATCTAACTTAGAAAGAGTTTTTGTTACATAGCATCATTACTCTACTGGTAATTATCTACACAATTTGTTAGTTGCAGTAAACATGTTGGCTAAGAGCAACGGAGGGTGAAGCATTATTATCTGGTGAAAGTGTCTTGCACACGGCAGCGTTTAAGCCCACCACCCATTAGTAGGCAAAGTCTCAGGATTGTGTGAGTGTTGGTTTACCGTGGTAAACCTCGCCGCGGGGACGTGTGAGGTACTCCCAGCTCGCCACCCTAGTCAAAGCTCCCTCATCTTGAAATTCTTCGGATTTTTTTTTTAACTGGTTTAATTCTTCAGTTATAGGAACATTATGGCCTTGCACATAAACACCGAAGAGAAACATGCGACCATCGTTTTGTTCAGGAACGAAAGAGAGGACATCAGAGAGAGTATGTTAGTATGAGTTTTAGCATGTTAGTATTGGAGACACATTAACAACATACAAATCAAAACCAGAAGCAAATTGAATTTAGTGGAGTCCCAGTGACTAGGGTAGCATGTGCTGCACCCTCCGCACCAAAACACACAATGGTTGAATTATCATGTACTTTACAGTCTACAACAAGCTGGCATACTCTAGCATTTGGCAGTTATAAGCTAGGCCGGGACACAGGGGACCTAAACAGTCCGCCTGATTGATACTAAAACATTTCTTAGAACAACTGGTGATCCTAATGCATTAAATCTCTTAAGACCCATTATTACAAATGCAAATTTGTAGATTTAATATTTATATAGCTAGGTCGTGGAAGCTCTGAAGGGTCTGTCAACAATCTTTTTGATTCTTCTTGTGTGTTTCGGTTTTTACATTTAAATAAATTTTGAGCGCAAGATAGAACCCTAAAGAGACGGAATCCATGCATGAACGAGATCTTCATTAAGGTACAATATAACAAATCTGAAGTCTACTATTAGACAGCGTAAAAAAAGGCATTTTTTCCTAAGTGAAATGGACAAAGAAGTAGAATAAAAAACATTTAAATAAGCCATAAAACAAACTACAAAAATAACACGAAATTTAAGAGATATTTTAGTTGCATCATAATTATGAAACATCTTGAATGGCAGATTAAAAATGCAAATATAGAAAAAAATTACATACAATAGGAAAATTTTGAATTAATAATAAAAAAGAGAAAATTCATACATAAAGTAGCTAATGGAGAGATCCTTGCTACAACAACACATGCAACATATCATCTAGAGCAGCCAACGAAACTAGGAGGGAGGAATGAGGAAGGGAATGTTGGGGCAAGGGCTACTGCATCAGCAGCAGCAGCAGCAGCTGGGATGAAGGTAAAAGGGAGAGAGGGAAGGAGAAAGGGGGAGGCCTCGGAAATATGAAGACAACCTACCTGCAGATGGCCGACTGGGAATAAGCTGGGCCCTCGGTGATGCTCAAGGCTTGGCCCACCTGTGTTTGGGTCAGTCCCATGGAAAGTCTCCGGATCTTGAAGGCCTTGGCGAACTCCTTGATCTCGTCCAGGTTGACACCGTCCACTAGGTTGCCCGTCGACTGGCTGATGGTGGGCTGGTCTGTAGGGGAGGGTGCCAAGGGGGGACCTGGTTATAGACACGGGGGCGAAGACCAGGGTTATCACCACGTTACGAACCAGCGTGGGAGGTTAAGGGAGGGTAATAATGGGAAGTGAGAGACAGAAAAAATGGAGCTGAAAATGACACTGAAGGAACGCTAGAAGGGAAGTTAGAAGAATACGGAAATGAAGCAACTGTAGATATGATGAATAGGTGAATAGGTGAAAAAGGAAGAAAAGTAGAGGATAGACAAAGAAAAGCTGGAAAAAAAGAACTGGAAAAGAAGAGGTATGGAAAGAAATGAAAGTCCAAACAGGTCATGGTGAAGGTATTAGGGAAACGGAGAAGGGTAATTGTCTTAATAAATAATCTGAATGATGGGTAAGGTGAAACGTTGAAAGAAGGGACTAGAAAGAAAAGAAGAAAACTGATACGAGAAAAGTAGGAAATGAAGAAGGAAGGAGTTCAGGAGAGAGGAAGAAGATGGAAGAGAGGAAGGAGAGAAAACATGAGAAAATAACGGGAGAATGGTAAAGGCAGAAACTGGACGAGGAGAGTTGAGGAGGGGAACATAGGAAAGGGGAAACAGAAAACGAGATGAAAAAGGAAGAAGGAAAGGAGAACGAGGGAAGAAAATGAGGAGAAAAAAGTAGAGCAAGAAAAGGGGATAGTAAGTGGTAAAAACTGGAAATGAAGAGGGGAAAATAGGAGAAAAAGTAGTAAGAACAGGGCAGAAAGAATAGGAGTTAATGAGGTGAGAAAAGTGGACACAGGGAAAAGAAAAGAAAGAAGATAAAATAAAGAGAAATGAAGGCAAAAAGAAAATGAAGAGATAAAAAAAAAGAGAAAAAAGAAGAGAAAAGAAGAGGAGAAAAGGGAGAAAGGAAGAGGGAAGAATATGAGAGAAGGAAAGGAGAGATAAAGGAAGAAAGGGAGAAAAAGGATAAGAGGGCTAAAAGCATGACACACATCTTGTGAGGAGACAATGCCCACGAACCAATTTTTCCTGCTCTTACTCCTTAACAACAGCTTTGCTTACACTTAATGCAGTACCTAAAATGTTTATATGCATTCTGAGAGAGAGAGAGAGAGAGAGAGACAGAGACAGAGAGAATATAGTTTAGAATTAAACAGTCAGAGAACCAATAAAGAATGTAAGTAAAATATTGACTAAGAACCGTACCTCACTTTAAATATTAACGTGACTCACAAAGAGTGGCAAATTATGCCTATAAGAATATTTATTATTATTATTATTATTATTATTATTATTTATTATTATTATTATTATTATTATTATTTGGGGAAGGGGAGGTAATCAGGATGGATCAAAGAAAGGTGTGGGTAGATCCAATTTTTTGACTGATAATTATTACTATTAAAATAAAAAGAAGTGCTAAACCTACAAGGGTAAAACAGCTTTTGGATGAAGAGCCCTTACCAGTGTCATTAGAGTACACGTAAGGCAAATTAAGTAGTAGAGTAACACCGTACTGTCCACGGACAAGTCTTCGTTGTAAGAATCCACTGATGATAGCGATGGACTGTCAAGTGAATCTGTCTTTCCCTTGTAGGTAAGTGATTCAGAGAACTGACAGGCTGATGAATTAGACATTTGTGCAACATTTGGATGTCTTTATTTTGGAAAAGTTTCGCCAAGCAATGGCTTCCTCAGGTCAAACTTAATTATTTCATTTCTTATACCACCGATACCCTGGGCGCTTTCTGATCCATATGGGATTCGTTTTCCCATCCATATATTACGAATAATAATTATCTATATTAGCAGCAGCAACAACAACCAATAATAATAATAATAATAATAATAATAATAATAATAAATAATAATAATAATGATAATAATAACCTAACAACGTCCTGAGAGATAGCGTTATCCGTGTGATGGCTTATTCTCAGATGAATTTTCTCATCATTCGCACAAACATTTATAGTATTTAGTTTATCCAGTTCATGCACTCAGCTTATGTACTCAGCTCTCGTACTCAGCTTTTTTACATTGGTTCACTTGCCAGTTACACCTGAGGATTTTGTTTTTCTTCGCAAAAATAACTGCTCTCCTAACACGCCTGACCACACGAGGGTTTGCCTTCGTTAATATAACAAGTGACTAGCTCTTGACATTACACTGGGGGGTACATTGATTCTGACAAAAGCCTGTTGTTTCAAAGATTTGAGCTATCCTCTTCCTCGGATCAAACCTAATTTCCTCCTCCTTTACCGAAGTGCTGTATCACCCCTACGGTTTTAGGGTTTCTTTGGAATATAACAATATAAACGTGGATATTATTTGTGACCATCAGTAAAGGCGTGTGTAGTTACTAATCGTCAAAGGCAGGTGTCGATGGACATTAGACACTTGGCCTAAATGTTTGTGTGTGTGTGTGTGTGTGTGTGTGTGTGTGTGTGTGTGTGTGTGTACTTACCTAGTTGTACTCACCTAGTTGAGGTTGCGGGGGTCGAGTCCGAGCTCCTGGCCCCGCCTCTTCACTGATCGCTACTAGGTCACTCTCCCTGAGCCGTGAGCTTTATCATACCTCTGCTTAAAGCTATGTATGGATCCTGCCTCCACTACATCGCTGTGTGTGTGTGTGTGTGTGTGTACTCACCTATTTGTACTCACCTATTTGTGGTTGCAGGGGTCGAGTCCTAGCTCCTGGCCCCGCCTCTTCACCGGTTGCTACTAGACCCTCTCTCTCCCCGCTCCATGAGCTTTATCAAACCTCGTCTTAAAACTGTGTATGGTTCCTGCCTCCACTACGTCATTTTCTAGGCTATTCCACTGCCTTACAACTCTATGACTGAAGAAATACTTCCTACTATCTCTCTGACTCATTTGTGTCTTCAACTTCCAATTGTGGCCTCTTGTTTCTGTGTCCCCTCCCTGGAACATCCTGTCCTTGTCCACCTTGTCTATTCCACGCAGTATTTTATATGTCGTTATCATGTCTCCCTGACCCTCCTGTCCTCCAGTGTCGTCAGCCGATTTCCCTTAATCTTTCTTCATAGGACATTCCCCTTAGCTCTGGAACTAACCTTGTTGCAAACCTTTGTACTTTCTCTAGTTTCTTGACGTGCTTTATCAAGTGCGGGTTCCAAACAGGTGCTGCATACTCCAGTATGGGCCTGACATACACGGTGTACAGTGTCTTGAATGATTCCTTACTAAGGTGTCGGAATGCTGTTCTCAGGTTTGCCAGGCGCCCATATGCTGCAGCAGTTATCTGATTGATGTGTGCTTCCGGAGACATGCTCGGTGTTATACTCACCGTGTGTGTGTGTGTGTGTGTGTGTGTGTGTGTGTGTGTGTGTGTGTGTGTATTAGAAACCCCATCACTATGCAGTTTGGAAACCTCACCACACCGTTCAGAAACCCCCCATCAACACGACGTACAAAAACCCCACCAACACGCCGTACAGGAACCCCGTCATAACGCTATTCGGAAACCCCATCACCACGATCTTGTGGTACTCCATCACTAGGCTGGTCACGCACTCCACCACCAAACCATTAGAAAACTATACCATTTAATTAAACGTTGCAGTGCTTACTATTGTCAAACCTGAAGAACTTCTTCCTATTTGTGACCCTACTTACCGAATTCATCCTTTCAGAACTACTGGAATACTACTCACAACCTGTTTCAATCATCACTGCCATGTTATGTAGGTAGGATTGTAAGCTTCTGGAAACATATTAAATCGCCCAATATACTCATTATTATTATTATTATCATTATTATTATTTTTATTAGTGATAGTAGTAGTTGCAGTAATAGTAGTAGTGGTGGTAGCAGTATTATTATTATTAATTTATTTCTCTGGGACAATAAAATAAATGTAAGTCAGTTCTTCTCCCACACATACTTTGTCTGGGAGAGGGAGACATTTAATTTAGTTCGTTCATGAATATGTACAAAATGCATTCCGAATGTTTAATAATTAGCTTCATCAGTCATCATATTTGTTTTATTATTATTATTATTATTATTATTATTATTATTATTATTATTATTATTATTATTATTATATTGAATAAAGCTATAATGTTACCTTCGGAGCCTTACTATGTGATAATTTTGTTTATCTCAGCGAAGAAAATATATTGCATGACATTCTCTACGTAGTTTCTCGTAACCTTGAAACAGTTTGACTTAGGCTGAAATAGCGTGATCTAGCTTGACCAGAGGGGCAGAGCGTGGTAGTAATACTAGGGAAACAACAGAAGCTACAGGAATACTACTTAATGTGTTGAAGGTGCTGCAAGGTCATAATGGTTATGCTTACGTAATATAATACACATATTATGAACTTGGCTGCTGGCTTCTGTGTACATGGTGGGATGAGGAAGGGGTAATGATATTCTGTAGGTGGTGGTGATCTTGTTGGTGCAGTGATAGTAGGGGTTGGAGACGTGGAGGTATTGGCAGTGGTTGTCGTTGTGGTGGTTTGCGATTGGGGTTCCTGTTTTGGGGAAGTGGAGCGGAGTGGAGATTGGAATGGTAGCAGGGGTGTAGCTGGTGTACGTTACGTTAGGGAGTGATGGAGATGGTGGTGATGGTAGTGGTGTGGTGGAAGTGGCTGGAAAGGTGATATTGGTTGTGTAGGTAGCGGTGGTGGTGAGGATGGTGGTGGTGGGGGGGGGGAATGGTGATCATAGTGGCTGTGTTGTGATTCCGGTTTTTGCAACAGGTTCGCTGGTAGGGGTGAGCATGGTGAAGGTTTGTAGGAGAGCTTACATAATATGGTAGAGGTTTGTAGGAGAGCTTACATAATATGGTGGAGGTTAGTTGGAGAGCTTACGCAATATGGCGAAGGTTTGTTGGAGAGCATACATACTATGGTGGAGGGAAAAGCAAATTAGTGATGGAGTGCTGGAAATCAACCATCAATGGTGGTGGGGATTATTTTTGTTGTTGTTTCCCCTTTGTATATAAAAGTTTTTTTATTTTTTTTTTAGTAACTGTTAAATTGTATCTAAATTTTCAGTACACTCTCAAAGTTCATCT